TTCAAAACACCCAAATGCAACTTTATAAAAAGCTTGTAAGGCACCACATTAATGCTTGCTCCTAAGTTCGACAAGGATTTTTCTATATGATGATTTTCGATGCAAAGGGGGATAGTAAAACTACCTGCATCCGGTTTCTTTTTAGGCAACTTGTTGAGGATAAAGACGGAGCACTCCTCACCTAAGGTGACATTGGCCAGGTCTTCATATTTAGGCTTCTTGGAAAATATCCCCTTGAGGTATTTGGCGTACCTCGGCATGTGAACCATCGCCTCAAATAATGGAATGGTGATGCGGAGCTTCTTAAGCATCTCCATGAATCCTCCACACTCCGCCTCCAATTGGTTCTTGTGCATCCTTGTGGGGAAAGGAAGACGAGGCTTGTACTCAGCCACTAGTGGTGGCGTTGGCAATGCCTTCTTAGGCTCTTCTTCCGTTTCCCTCACTTCTTCGGGATCATTGACCGTTGGAGGGGTCTTCTCTTCTTCATACACTTCCTTATGAACAACCTCTGGGGTAACCTTCCCACTCCTCAAGAGATTAGCATTGCACCCGACATTTTGGTCTTTGGGGTTGACAATGGTTTGAGAGGGTAGGGCTCCCCTTGGCCTCTCGGTGAGGATCCCAACAAGATTGCCAATTTGCACCTCCAAGTTTTGAAGGCTTGCTTGATGGCTCCTTAATCCCCCCTCAACCGAGGTGAACTTTGTTGTTGCCAGATCCATAAATTGCTCAATATTCTTAAACTTTTGAGTGCTCGTGCTCACAAAGATGGCGACAAGGTCTTCAAGTTTTGCAAACTTGTCGGTTTGCTGGAACCCCTGACCTTCTTGAGCTTGAAACGGTTGTTGGAAGTTAGAGCCTTGGAATTGCAGCCTTTGTTGAATGAAAGTAGGCCTTGGTTGATAATTTCCCGTTGGTCATTGGAAACTGGGGGGTTTTGGATTAGTAGGAGAAGACCAAGAGAAATTCATATGATTTTTCCACCTCAGGTTGTGGGTGTTGCTAGAGGGGTTGTTCCCCCTAGCATTGGCTATGAAACTCACTTGCTCCTTGGGGGTGCTTGATTCCTTCATCATTTGATAATCCGAAATCTCGTGCTTCTTGTCCTCTAGGAGTGCCTCAATCAAACGATCAATCTTGGCTTCAAGCGGGGGACTCTCTCCCACACTTTGCACTCCCTTTGCGGTGCTTTTCTTTCCACTTCTTGTCAAGCCCCAATCATACCCTTTACTTGCCATGTCTTCAAGCAACTCGTTCACTAGGAGTGGAGAATCCAATAAGTCGTATCTCCAAGTAAGTGAGAGGAGGTGTGAGATAAGGGGAATACCTCGAGAATTTTGAGGGAGTTAGAGGAGTAGTACGAGGATTTTAGTGTTTAGTAACAAGTGAAGGATCTAATAAGTAATACAAACAACTAGGGAAAGACGAATCCCTGAAGAACGATACCACATGTTACATGCACAATGTATCACAAACTCGATCTAATTGACCTTGGAAATGCGTCCCTCGATCACTGAGGATGGCAAAAGGTACACCAAAGCGAGCGAACAATTTCTTGAGAAACTTGGCCACCTCTTAGGCGACATTTATAGGGAGAGATTGAGCCTCTTCCCATTCGGAAAAATAATATATTGCAACTAAAATTTTACTTTGTGATGTTTTATGTTTCATGAGCTACTCAGATTGTCATGCATAATGTGCCATAATTAAAGAATTGATTGTGTTAGAAACACGCCTTAGTATATTACTATTGGTAGTTGTAGTAGTAATAGTAGTAGGGTTAGGTTGCTAAGTATGGTTGAGTATTCTTAGTTTAATTATGTATTAGGTTTTCTGGTATTTTCTTATAAGTATGTACTTGGGTATTTCACAAGAGGAATCAAAGAAGCATATTAGAAAACTCTCTCGAGAACCCCAATTCTCCCTGATCTTCTGAATCCTGTCTCTCTCCCTAAAGTCCACAACCGTTCTTCCCACATTCTATCTAATTTCCTCTTCAAATCCTAAAGTTCATTCTTCAAATCCCAATTCCTAATTCTCATATCCAAATCCCTAATAATTTCTCCCAATTTCTCAATCTCTTTCTTATTTATCCGGTTACGTCAATCTCAAGTTATCAGAAACATTGTGTTTCTTACCGCTCTGTTTGGCAACAAGGGGGGTGCAAATTGTAGGGGGTGCAAGTTAAAGAGTAAATTGCTGCGGGGTGCAAATTGCTGGGGTGTAAGTGGAGGGGTAAATTGTTGTTTGGATGAAAAAGTAGGGGGGGTGCAAATAGAGTGAAAAGTAAGTAATTATATTATTATAAAATAGATTTATTAAAATTATAAAATATTATCACAAAATATAAAATAAATATAATTATATAATAATGAATATACTTTAATAAAAATAATTATTATTATATAAAAATACTCAAATAATACTTAATTATAACAATTGTAATAATCATTGATCGAGCGATCTCAAAACTCGAACCTCAACTTGTAACTGGTCATTCTATATAGGGTTTTCGTGTCTAGTTTAATCTTAAATTGTCAAACTTAGTGAAACACGTTAGAATTTGTAAGTTTTAACTATTTAGTTAAATAAACTGAGTTAATCAAACAATTTTTCTCTTATCTTTTTCACAAACACTTCGTATCTCTAATTGTCAATGCAAATTCGAGTCAACCAAGAGATCTAGATTTGACTTGACGAACATTGATAAGCTTATTTCCGGAGTCAAATGGTCAACCCCGAATAATGTCTACATTAATTATATTTTTAAAAAATTAATTGTTAATATTAATTAATATATAATTATATATAACACAATTAGAAAAACAAAATTTCATAGTTTCCCCTTCCCCTCCCCCCTCTCTTTCTTCCTTCCCTTGCCCCCTAATTTGGGGGTAAGCCGAAACAGTAAATTTGCACTCCCGTTTTGCACCCCATACTGTTCCAAATTAACCAAACATGTGCAAATGAGTTGGAAACTGTTTTTAACCCTCCCATTTGCACCCCCTCCCATTTACCCTCTTCCCAAACAGAGTGTACAAATTCATTTAGTTACTAATGGATCATTCATAAACCTTTTATGAAGTTAGAAGGTCCATCCCGATACTTGATGGTAAATATGCATTATTTTCACTACTATTACATGAAAAATTAATACAGTGAATACAACGACATCAATAGTTGTGCATATGGATTTTATGTTGGTGAATATGATGAATGCTTAATATTCAACATGATGAATAGAGCATATGTAAAGTTCACATAAAAAATATTGTGAATGATCAATTATGTTATGTTATAATGTATTTATTACACATAAATAATACATGTTTTTATGTCCCTTTGTAATGTCCTTTGCCTGTCATTGAGTGATATTCCTATTTTTTAGCTAGTTTTACGGTTGGTTGGTTGTTTAAGTGTGTTGCGGGCAATTGGAACTTAATTTGATGATATTTGGATAAGAAATACACTAAAGAATGAATTATTAGAGTTCAAACTCATTATATGGAAACACCATCATGGAAGCTCATCATAAAAGGAGAAAGGATGAGTTTACAAGCATCTGGGATTAAATGAGGATTGATTAGGATTTCGAAAGAGGGAGAAAAGGCCAAAACATTAAAGACTTGAAGAACAAAATGGAGAAATTTTGCATCGAGACATTCACAGATCGCGTCACGGCCATGAGACAGGCCGTGGGACATCTTTTGATATGTTTGGTAATGATTTTATGACTCCTCTTCAGTGTCGAGCAAGGCTCACCCACGTTTTGGCCCACGACCGTGCGCGGCTACTGTTTGCAGTATTTCAGCATCTTAAACCTAGTTCGAATGGGAGTTCGACCATAAAAATCCTAAGAAGACCATAGATGAGTAAGGGAGCAGAGGAGGAGGTTTCCCATAAGTTCTACACCAGAGGAGTCGTCTTGGAGAAACCGATCACGCCTTCCACCATGGAAATTGGTTCTTCTTTCTCTCTTTTGTTGGTTTCTCCATTCTCCATAAACTAATCCCTCTCTGTTTTTTGGATTAGATGAACCTTAGTTGTATGATATTGATTTGATTGAATGTTATGGATATCGATGTTGATGATCTTTGATTCATCTTTGATTTATATTACAAGTATTCAAAAGTTGCGTGCCTATGGGATGTTTGATTGTTTCATATGTATGACGAAGAGAAGATCCCTACAGGTATGATAGAACTCTAGAACTGCTAGAAGATGGAGGGAAAGGGATTTATGGATTAGGGTAAAACCTAATAGGGGTATTTACAGATTGTTAGTCGTTAGGTGATTAAATTCAAGTTGTAGAGAATATTGGATCTAAATTGAATCGACTAATAAGTGTTAATAGGTGAAAATATTGGGTTAATACCAATTATGGAATTCTCATGGTAAAAGAAGATAACATCAATTTCTCTCCTTAAATTGCCTTAGTGTCTGTGATTTGCCTATGTTGAATTTTTTTTTTCTTTAGTTATTTAGTTTAGATAATTGAAAGAATTGATAAGAGATCGGTTAAATAATAAGAAACATAGCTCATTACTACTAGGTCATGGTCTATGTGGGAATACTTCCTTACTTGCCACTATATTGCTATTAACGACAAGTACACTTGCCTTAGTTATTTACACTCGGACAAAGGTGATCATTCGTGCTTGTCCCGCAAATGTGAAGATATAAATTATGTTAGGTGAATGATGATATGTGAAATGTCACGTCTGAGCATAAAAAATAATTGTGAATGAATATGATTTAGTGATCGAATTACTAAGTGAAGTGTCAGGTATGAAGCAATGTTTCCATGTCTCCATCAAACGAACAATATTTGCTTAGTAAGCAATACTTTTCTGTTAGCTATTAGTATGTTCAGCATCCTTCAACTTAGTTATCTTTTTTTTTCTTTCTCTTTTGTATAAAAAATCTATATTTCTTCAATTTTATTTTCTACAAATTTAAAATTTTATTAATTTATAAAATAGCAGCGAGTTTGTTGACAGAGAGAAACCTGCATAATAAATATATTAAAAAACTTGCCAACATATTGTATATGCTTAGCTATGCTTTTGGAGTCTTTATAAATACTCTCTATTCACTAAAAAAAACTCTTTACTTCCTGCCTACAATTTACATGTAGCCTTTGTTTTCTCATCACTTTTCTTTTTTTCGAGGTCTCGCTCTCAATGAAATGAGAATTTACAATGGGGATAAAAGTTCCATTTAGAGAGGAAAACATATATTAAAAAAAAATCTCTATATCACATTACTAAAATATTTACCGAATTTTCTTATATACTATTTGCTTGCTATTTCTTTTTCCCTTTAACCTTATACTCAAAGAATATGCTTAGAGGACACAAAAATTATGTTTGCTAATTTACCCACTCTCCTTTTTGTACATGGAAATTCGCTTTTTCTTTTCTTCTTGCTTGATTTGGGTTATTTGGGAGGAAAAAGACAAGGGTGCATTTTGGATTTGGGCCTTGAACCAGATAATTACATCTTCTCACCCACTGTTTTAAATTCTTCACTTTCTTACCTGCTCCTAATTCATGCATCATGCTCTCACCACCCAAACTGGATCTCCGTGAACACAATCAGATATCAAACCAAGTCAAGAAATGAGAGTCAGAACAATTATCAACTTGAACGTGCATACAATTTCAAGCAAAAAAAAAAGTAATTGGTAACATTTGGATTTAGGTAGAAAAACTTCAATAACAAGGCCACCATTGAATTTTTTCTCTCGTAATGGTAGTTTGGAAAATAAGTTCAAAAGTAAATAGTGTCAACCCTCATGCATTACCACCAAATCCCACTTCTATAAAATCTGAATTAGCCCCAACTAAAACCAATATGTCTAAATGCTATATTTAGAAATTTAGCACAAGTTAAGCCAACTTCTTAATGAAAGAGTGAAAAATAAAATAAAGATAATTAAATATTACCAATATAAGATTTTGAGTACTTACCAATTTCTTTTTCTTTTTCTTTTTCTCAAGATAAGCCAAGACTTCTTGTTGTGGTGCAAGTGAATCATCTAGAGCCTGAAAAAAAGTTTATATTCGAGAAATTGAATGATCATTCGAAAATAAGTTTAAAATAGAAAAAAATTCTCCTCTCTTTGCCAATCGACTTTGAATTCTATCTATCTACCTTTTTAGAAAAATTCCTAGGGTATATAGTAGTTATAATTTATACCTTCTTAGTAGCAGTAAGTTCTTCCTCCAAGGTGTCAATCCTTGTCAAAGCAACATTCAACAAGTCCTCTTTCTCTGGTGGCATCAAATTCGGTCTGTTGCTCAAAACAATCACTTTCTCCTCCATCTCATTCATCCTCTTCACCATAGCCATAAACTCTGATACTGCAACCGTAGGAATTGCTGGTTGGGTGAGTATTGGCTGCTGCATTCTCTGGATTGGTTCCTCACAGTAGACTGGACTAGAGTATATTGTTGAATTGGTTAGCTTCTTTGGCATGTTCCTCGTCACCTTGATCATCGTTACAATCCCCGTGACGAATGCCATCACCCCGGTAATCAGCGGGGAGCTAGCCCCCTCTGCAAGTAACTTATGAGCATCTATCATCGGAAAACTGTCTGTTGGTATGTTGTGAGGATTGAGTGGAACTGCAAAAAAATGCACTCACCAAAAAGTGAACACATATAAAATGAACCCATGTAATTTAATTTAAATAGTACAAGTGAATTTACCTACCTTTAGATAGGGCAGCAAAGTTATTGTTGTGCACCACATTCTTCCACCTCACATTTTTTGGTTTCTCAATGATTGCATTGTATCCTTTGAATGACATCTGTTGGGTAAATTATGGGTCATTCAGAATAATCCTCCCACACCCACAGTGCATGAAAATTTTAGACAAGAATTGATTACTTGCTTTCTGACTAACTTGGTAAATAATAGGAGCAATAGGAGGATGCTCAATTTGGGCCCTTGCGGTTACTATAGTATCATCAACTTTAGGAATTGACTCCACTTTAGGTGAGTTACTTTCCTGTTTAAAATCATCACAAACCTAATTTAGACAATCAAGCTATTACATACGTATTTGTTTAGTTGAAGAGGAAAACCTTTGAGTAGATTATCTCATTTTCTGAGATGGTCTTCTCATCTGGATTATCAGCAAGCTCATTGGTCTTCCTGCATTTGTGCTCCCCATTTTGAATCATCTAGAAATTCAATGATGGAACACATATATTAGGTAATTAGAAAGCAAAGACAGAACTTGGAAGAGTTGTAAGGTGTTAGAAACAATTACCACTCACCCTGATGATCTCAGGATCTTTCCAAGGACCTTTATCAGATCGCATGCAACCACCCTGTTCTTCACATGTGCAAGTTCCTCCTAAGAAGTCTGGCAGCTCGCTATCCATAACAACAAAAAAAGATTTTGAATTATCAACTCTAATCAATCTAGATGAAAAATGCAATGGAATAATGAATTGATTAAAGAAAAAATTACCTAGCATCAATTATCTCAAGCAACTTGCTCTGGTACTTATTCCCAAGAACCTGTTCATTCCACACGCTCTTTACTTATTAGTAGTCTACATTAGCCTGAATGAAAAGAAGCAACCATTTCCATGACTCAAGAGGAAGAAGTTGGCAACTCAAAACTTACATGGATCTTAGCAGTGGTCTTAGGATCAAGGAAGGACTTAACAGTGTTCCACAACATTCTGAATCCAGAACCGGCATTGATGATGAACATTCGGTTCAAGGTCTGCAATATGTTTGCTCATACATAGATACCATGAAAAGAGCATCAATCTCGAAATCCTAAGACCAAAAGATAACAAAAAGTGGCAAAACATCAAAAGAAACCAAAACAAGACATTACCTCAGGATAATTGTCGCCATCAACCTTTTGAAGGCGAGTAATGAGCTCCCTCGCAGCCTTGTTGAAGTTCTTGAGACCCTGTGATCCCATTTTTGTTTTTGCTTCAATAATGTTCTAGAAATAAATTTAAAGATGCAAACTTTGTAACTTTACGTCGATTCTACTTTTAATCATGAGCACATACCACTCCTTGGACATCTAAGATGGTAGTGCTCTGATCAATGTGTTTTTTGGCAGCAATGGAACATGCAGGGAACTTAAAAGCGAAAGTTCTTTCAAATTCCTGAACATGGTACTTCACGTATCTATCCATGTTGGTCGCTTGCATGAGCTTTGTGGGGTCTACCAATCCCAACCTCTCAATGTACACTGGTCTACCATCCATATCCACACCATGATGCCCTTGTGGGTAATGTTGTAGTACTTCATCTATTTCATTGAACTCAAAATCCTTGGCCCAAAAATTGCCCAAATTGAAAAGAAAAATAAGTTTGTGTCTTTCACAAAAGAAGCATTTAGTTTTGAATAATATACTTTATTACCTCCATTATTGTGTCTGATCCGAATTCCTTCCTCCATTGGAGCATATCTGACCACATTTGCTTTGTTTTGTCTATGTCAAATTTTCTTGCCTTTAAAAACCTATAATCATATATTATAAATTGAGGGTTTCATATTTGGGAATGATTCAATAAGGAAAAGAGGTAAGGATGAAACCTAAGCATCATGTGGTAATCGTCATGCTTGGATGGCAGAAGCTCTTCCAAAATAAGAGCTTGCCGAAAAGCATCCACTGCTTTCAACTCCTCGACATCGTGCTCATCCTCGATCTCGACTGACATGATTCTGCTGCTCCTTCTTCCTCCTATGTTTGTAAATGAGTTCCTCAACTTGTTTGATGCATTAATTGCTCTTTGCCTGAATGACTCTCTTCTGGTGGATTTCTTCTCATGCAACGACTGATCTGTCTCGGCCACTGCCTCACAGATTACCAAGATAGAATAATCTTTAATCTTTAAATTCTAAACAATCCATCATTCATTCTGAAACAAAAGAAAGCAGATAATTACAAACCTTGTGGTGTATTTGGCTGAGACAATGCAGCCATTACCCGGGGGAGAACCTTTTGGAGACCTTTTCTATTTTTGTTTTTATAATTTTTTTTATTTTTTAAAGGTTCCAGGAAACCTTGTAAAACAAGGGGAAAGAAGAATCAATGAATCGTATGTAGATACCAAAGTCGTAGCCAAATGCCTGCAATACAAAACCCAGAAACCCAAATCTAAAAAACAATCAGTAACCAAAGGCCAATATAAATTACAACAACTAGGAAAGATATTGGAGAAATCGTAACGGTTTACCTTCGCAAAGAGAAAAGGGTGACTAGGAAGGAGAATCATTTTAGAATGACATAATGAAAAGTGGGAATAATTGGGAACAAGGGACATTTGGAGATATTCCCGAGAAAAGAGAAAATATGTGAGGTCAACACAACGTTATGACATTGTATCTAAATTTGATGGCAAGGTAAAGTAGTTTTTTCCTCGGTGCAATTAACTAGTTGACCAAGTCTCCATTTTTCATATATCAATGAAACTCCTTCTATTTTCTTCTTTTAGCTTCATTTGTTCGGTTTCCGCTCTTTTATTATTATGGAAGTTCACTTATTTCTGTTGGGATGAATAGCTTTGAAAAGCTGTAAATGAAATTCCTAATTAAATATCCAGTATTTTCCCATAATACGAAAATAAGATGGATAATTAATAAAAAGAATATTATGGAGATAATTAGGATTAATTATCTTAATAGATTATATTTTAATTATGGGAGTAACGATCTCCCTAATTAAAATGTGACTTATTTCCAAAGAAAGAGGGAATATTCTGGGTTTTCTGCTCCTATAAATAGCAGACCCCCAGACCCCTAAACACACCTTAGAGAGCAGGAACACGAGAGAGGGTGAGATTCGGAGAGCTCCGGTTTTCGCACAAAACCGCCGAGCAAATTTAATGAGTGACTGTTTTATCGTGGAGGCGACCGACTGATAGTCTGCTGTGCACATTACGAGGCAGTGCCGCGAACGTATTAAAGAGAGCGACCTAGTCCGTGACTCAGCCAGATCGGTAACCCTAGTTTTCATGTTCGGTTTTTAACAATTTTAAGACGCTTGGATTCTGTCATATGTACCGAACAGATTAAATTCAATTACCGCATCCGGCTTCAATTCGTCTCATCCCACCACTCGATGCAAGCTTCGATTGACGTAGCTCTCTTCTCGTACTGGCCAGTCGCCGAAAGGGAAGCTTGCGATTCCTACCAAGCTTTTCCGCGTATATGAAAGAATGCTTGTCCATTCTTATTTCTTACAATTTTATACATTCTCTAGATGTGGTGAAAGCGTGAGATTTGGGATTTTATTTATTAATAATTATTACTGCTAGCTTTTGTTGAAGCAAGTAGTCAGAGGGAAACGTTAAAGGGAAAGACGGAACTCACTGCTACCGAGCTTTGGCTCGACAACAGGAAAAAGATGAAAATATGCGACCGTTGCTTGTGAATTTTGTTACTAAAGATCTGCTATATACATTTGTTTGCAAATTTGTTTGCTAGTTGATGCAGGACAAAAGAATTCTTAATGGATACAAAAACTACTTGGATTGATGGCGTTTATAACGGACCATAGTGCATGCGAGGCTGGTGGTTGTTGCGTCATGGTCCATCAACAAAAATGCCCCAATCTTGTATGAGAAGGGAACCCTTCTCCCGAAACTTCCTTCGGTGCCGCACAGACACAGTGCTTTCTACTGGCCAGGGTTTGGTGGCGGCAGTAGGGTCGGAAGAATTCCAGAAAGGAGAAAATGCAACGCGTCTAATGATGAGACGTGGGCCGAATACTAGACAGGCCCAACTGAATTCGACCCTGTGCTTCAGGGAAGTTAATTTAGTGGACCTTGAATGGCTGAATGATTTTGGGCCAGGTGGAGGTGGCAATTAGAATCTAAATCCATGAATCCAATCCAATCCATCCACCAAATTATCCACCTAATCCAATCCATTTGATCCAAATCCAATTGGATTGGTGGATTCATGGATCAATCCATGGATCCAAATGGCAAATTACGATTTGGTACCTATATATTTTATATTTTACATTTTGGTACCTAAAATTTATATTTTTATACGAAAAATATCATTGGAAAATTACATTTGGTACCTAAATTTTTTCATTATGACATTTTAGTACCAAAACTTTTCAAATTTTACATTTTGGTCCAAGCATTGGATGTCATTTGGATTCATGGATCAATCCACCAATCCATTTGATCCAATCCATGAATCCACCAATCCATTGGATCCAATCCATTTGATCCATGGATCCACCAATCCAATCCACGAATCCACCAATCCGATCCAATTGCCAGCTCTAGGGCCAGGTGATCTTCTATTCGTGGAACGAGACCAATTGAATCAGTGTTACGTAGATTTTGGCTCCCCTAAGACGGTGTAACTGGCACCTTCTACTCCTCATGTTGGTGGCAGTTGTGAAAGAAGAATTGCTTGGAAATTGAGAAATAACGAAGCTAGAAGTGGTGCTAGCTACTCGTGCAAATTGAGAATGCATTGACTCATCGAAAAAGGTCAGAATCAAAACCTTTTTATGAATCATTATGATGAATGATAATTAGTTAGAATCTATTTCACTTGAGTTCTATGCGTGGTATTGAGAAATCATGTGAATGCGAGAAAATAAACCTAGAATTTATACATGATTATGTTGACATTGACATTGACATTGAAACGTGTCTCTCTCAATGACCAGACTATAAGTTTAAATGCATGCTATAGAATAGAGTTATTTTGTTACATAAATGTGTGTGAAGAATATATGGGAATATAATGGGTTAATTTCCCATAGTGACGATATGGAAAGAAGTATTGATGTCAGTACTACACGAACCACTAAATCTAATGTTGCTCTGGAACATTAAAGTTTCAAGAATGAGAGTAGCAAGCCGAACCAAATCCACACCAATTAGAATGGTACCCATCATGGTAACCATAAGATTCTCACACAATTCTCTAAGAATGACGCTATGTTTCTCAATTAAACTTGAGAAAAACAAGGTCATATGACAAGAAAGTGTTAGAGCAAGTTTAACATAGTATTGTGTTAACTTGATTAATGAAGAGTATTTGGCAATAATAATCGCTAAGGTGATGACAGAGGTTAGCATTAATGATAAATATGAAGAATGGTTGTTGGATAAAGGCGCCTAAAGGCATGTATGTGATAAACGAGCTAAGCTCAATCATACCTTAAGGCGTGTTGAAGAAGAAAGTGTTGTTGGGCACCACCCTCACCACTATTCTTGATTGTTCTGGAAAGTGGAAGAGAACCTTACCTCTAGAAAGTCGTTGACTATGCTAGATGTAAGGAATGCTTAAGTACATAAAATGAATTTTTCAATGTGTCTGTGTGAAGAATTAGAATATCCAAAGTCACATTCTCATATTATTATTGAATACTTGAGATAAATTTGAATTTGGATCCAAGCTAAACGACCCATAAAAATATCTTTAGAAAATCAGAATCGAAAGATTTTATCTATTTGGATAATGGGTAAACATGATGGAAAGGCAATAAATCATTTATTGTTTTTAGAGTGCTCTGATTATCTGTCTAGTTATTTGAGATGTAAATGACTTGAAATGCTTTAACGCATTATTAATGATTGCATTGATTATTCGAAATCTTGCATGCTAGCTGTAGAGCTAAAGAATCAGTGTAATATGATAACTAGAAGAGCATATAAGTGTGTTTTATTCGTAATGTCGTCTATAGTAAAACACATAGGTATAATTATTGGAATACTCATTATGTTGTGAAATCCATTGATGCCAATAGACTTCCATTTAAAATCAAGAGATAGTGGGGGTTGTATCCAGCCTACTATTAGAAATAATGGATAACTAGTGGGGTGATGAATCTGAGTATGAACTCAGAAGAGACAAATGAACCATAAATCACGAAAGGATTTTGGTTATGAATTTTTTATTTACACCCTAAGAAAGAAAGATCCTACAAGTCTGCTAGAAGTTCGAACTTCCATAAAGATGCAAAATTGTGGGAGAATCCATTATTAACGAAATGGAATTATTGGAGTCTAATAAGACTTAAAATCTTGTAGAGTTACCTCTTGGCTGTAAAGCCTTGGGTAATATATCGATAGAATCGAACAAGATTTGGCATCTATGAGAATTATCTCTTGGCAATGAAGTCGAAGGTAATAAATGGATTCCCAAAAGAAAAAACCTGATGGTTTAGTTTATGAGTATAATGATTGCCTAGTTGCTAAGTCGTGAAGAGGAAACATTATAGATATCTATTCACCAATATGTAGAATAACTTTCATGTATGGGATGAATGTTAAAACTATTTTGTGAATGGTGATTTAGATAGGGAAATCTACATGGGACAACCTATAGGGTTGTTATTCCTGAACATGCTTATGGAGTATGTAGTTAGACAAGTCATTGTAAGATTTGAAACAGACTCTAAGATGATGGCATGAATAAATTGGTTCTCTTTCATGGTTTTAATGAAAGTGACAAGTGCATTTAGTACAAGTTTGAGAATGACACGTGCACTATGAATGACATGTTGATATTTGGTACAAAGACTTATGATATCAATGATGTGTAAAACCATGTTTGAGAATTTTGAATGATCTGGATGAAGCTTGTGTAAGCTAAGAGATCCAGGTAACTATGACAATGAAATAGATTTCCTCTAGATCAGTTTAACTACATAGTTAAGATCTAGAAAAAATATAAGTTGTATGCCTGCATAAATGGTTGATGATGCTGGTGTAAATATTAAATAACATTGGAAACGGTGTAAGAAACTAAGAAAGTTAGAATATACTAGCATCGACAGTCTGCAAGAGGTAGCTGATTAACACGAGACCCGACATTGTGGTTTATTTGGCAGGTTTACATGATGTCCCAGTATGAAGCATTGAAATGCTATTGAAAGGGGTCACGAGACACCTTAAGAGAACTGAAAACCTTGGTATTTTTTATCAAAGGTTTTGTTGTATTGGTAGGGTATAGAGATGCGGACTAGAATACCCTATAGAGGACTCCAAGATTACCAGAAGCTATGTTTTAAACATCGATAGAGAAGTTGTGTCTTGGAAGTCTAAGAAAAAGAAGTAAACAGTCCTGGCTCAATCAACTATGGAATCAGAAATGATAGAACTAGCAATGGCTAGTAAAGAAGAAAGTTGATTGAGTGGGTCATTACTAGAGATTTCCTTATGGGAAAGACTGTATCCGCCGGTATTGATCCATTGCGATAACAATTAGAACCGTAACAAACGGTAAGAGGCGACAAGTTCGTCATAAGAACAGTACTGGAAGAGAGAGTCCTAACTGTTGGAGCAGTAAGGTCACTTAAAAGAGAATCTAGTTTATCCTTTGACGAAAGCACTAGCTAGAGAGAAAGTCCAAAATACCACAAAGGGTATGAGACTTATGCCTACCGAACCATGGATTACAAGTGATGGTGACCCGACCCGATAGACTGGAGATCCCAAGAAACGGGTTCAATGGGTAATAACAAGTCATGAGTAATATTGAGAAAAGTTCATGCATAGTGAAGAATGAATCCCAAAGCCTTGGAGGTTGAGTTAAACTTTTAATGAGATCTATACTCTATGTGGAGTGAGTACTTTACTTTGGGGGTACTTCTGATAGACTCACCTATGTGAATGTCGGAGTGGGGCCACTCTCTATGGAACTTTGGAGACATAAAGTTGCTGGAGCGTTCACTAAACCGGGATAACGTGCATGACCATAAAAGCACGGCCTATGAGAGAATATCACTCAATGAAAATATCCGGTGTGCTACACTGTCTGAGATAGGGTTCAAGACTATGAGTCACCCTTATGAAATCGAAGTGTAACCACTCCGCTAAGGTTCAAATCTTCGCGATACCTTAGCTTATGCCCGATCTTATGGAACTGTTGATGCTCAGAGATAGTTTCAAAACTATTCAAGTTGGGGATTGTTGGGATAATAGCTTTGAAAAGCTATAAATGAGATTCCTAATTAATTATCCAGTATTTTCCCATAATACGAAAATAAGACGGATAATTAATAAAAGGAATATTATGGAGATAATTAGGATTAATTATCTTAATAGATTATATTTTAATTATGGGAGTAATTATCTCCCTAATTAAAATGTGACTTATTCACAAAGAAAGAGGGAATATTCTGGGTTTTTTGCTCCTATGAATAGCATACCCCCCAGACCCCCTAAACACACCTCAGAGAGCAGAAACACGAGAGAGAGAGAGAGAGAGAGATTCGGAGAGCTCTGGTTTTCGCACAAAACCGCCGAGCAAATTTAATGAGTGACTGTTTTATCCTGGAGGCTACCGGCTGATAGTCTGTTGTGCACATTACGAGGCAGTGCCGCAAACGTCTTAAAGAGAGCGACCTAATTCGCGACTCAGTCAGATCGGTAATCCTAATTTTCATGTTCGGTTTTTAACAATTTCCGTATGGAAAAGCATAGCCGAAGAAACTCAATTAAACCAAAATTATATAGTAATTTGGAAGACAAATCTAACCCGTGTTACTAGCTCGTGACCTAGCTAGTTTCCATTATAAATTTTATGCTACCAAAAACTTTGGAGTTGTTGAATGGACTTGAAATCGTCAATCCCACTAGCTTACGATTTGTAGTCCACAAAAAAGCATAACATAAATCGAATTTCAAATGCATACTCAAGACTAATAAATGATAATATATGCTTTCAAGTCGCTCAAAGTTGCAGCAATCAAATAGCAAGTACAACTTCTCGATTCCAGCCTCCAGGAATGCACTACGGTTAGCTTAGGTACCCACATTTCCAAGTTTGGCCCTTTTTCTTTGACAAATCATCAATGATTATCATTTGCTTGAAACTAAATTATATGGCAATTGTATAAAGTGTTAAGAGAAGTTTTAGTATGCTATAAAGCATCAATGCTATAATATATTTAGAGCCATTGGATCTTGTTGGATACTATCAGTTATTGGATTTAAGTTATTTAATTATTATTTTTTTTATTGTTGATTTTGGTGACCTATTGCACCGGTTAAGGAATTTTAAAAACAAAAAATAAAAATCGTAACTGTGGAATCGAAAGAGGGGGTTTGTCTTACCCAAAAAAAAAATTATCTTACCAAAAAAAAGAAAGAGGGGGTTTGACGACGGCGATTCATCTCTGCTCTATCCTCTGTGGGATTTCGTCGCGTCTCTTTGCCGATAGTGAAGGGGGTGAGCAGCGACTTCGATTACGGTGAACCATCTTCTGAAATAGGGTGACAGCAACGCTGTGAGAAGGAGGAAAGAGATGTTTCGCGTCTCCTCTTCCGCGATTGTGTTTCGCGGTGTCACCTCATCGGTAGTCAAGGGGTGGGTAGGGGTAACGGTGATGGCGACTCGGATTTGCCGGTGCAGGAGGGTTTCACTGTCTTGGAGAAGAGCTGGATTTGTGCATAAGGAACCGAAGACTAGGAAGCTTAATCCAAAACGACGACTGAGTTGGCGCCGGCGGCAGGACTTCTGCAATAGCGAGAATTGGGTGATAGAGCTGCAGTCTTAGTCATTCATTCCATGTAAGTGACTGAACTTATGATCACCCTTGATAGATATTCGATTTCTGACATGGGTTCAAGTTAGTTAGGGGAAAAGAACTTGTTGTTGTTCACGATCTGTGTTACCCACTCCTTCAATTCCATGCTTCTCTTTCTAATTCGACGAAATGAATCAGTAGATTGCTTTCCGGGGAAGGATTTCTCCCTGTAGTTCACTAACACAAGCTTCTTGTGGTTAATTTGTGATTCCTAAACATAGCATGTTGTTGGATTAGTGATGTTGGATAGAGTAGATATCAAAAGCAAACTGGTTTCTTGTGGGTAGTCTTTTGATAATAAATGTGTTATGCCATTGTTGAATTGGGAGCCTCACCGTTGTTTCCCTCAACCATTTATTTCACAGCTTTCACTATCTTCAACAATCTTCTGCCTCTTTTGTATTTGGTAGTTAATAACTCTATTCTGTGACAAATATCAACTTCTCCCATACTCATTCCTCTCCTTCTCATTCTCCGACTCCAGCTGAACAACTCTTTAGGTTTAGGAGTTTCGTTCTTCACAATTTCATCTTTATTCTTGCTGCCTTTTGCTTTTGCATTACTAGTCTCAAGTTGGTTGGAATTTGTCATGTATGTTGGTTCAAACTAGACGTTTGTCCTCCATAAGCTTCCTAAGCGTTGTGGTCTTGCTATAGTTTGTAGTAGTGTTGTAGCTTCTTCACTGAGATTACCAAGTAGCTATAGCTTCTTTTCCTTTCTAGTTTTCAGATTATGGGGATATGCAACTCTTCTTCTTCTGCATCTTCCTTTCATTTCCTGACACTTCCTTTCCACCTTTCTGGATCATATCACTCAGATCAAGTTAAAGTTATGACGTGATGGTGGTTTATCGATCTAGTCAGTCATCTTGATCATAATAAATGTTTGATGTTTTTACGTTCTTTCTTGTACACGTGGTTGAAGATACAAAGGCTCTATGCTTAGGGTTTTGGCTTTTCATATACATATTCCGATCTTGTGGTTTTATTAGGGAGGAATAATGACATTTTATCCAATATCGTAGAAATGGTACAAAGGGAGTAGTCATTGTTGTTCATGATAAGCATTTCGTTTAAGAGCATAGTTGCATTAGTCAGGACCGGGGAAGCTCATAAAAGAAGAACTACTAGATACGAGGGATGATAAAAATTTCAGAGAATACCTACAGATTTTAGAGTGTGTGATTAGTAGTTTTTTATAGTGGAGACGGATGGTGGTTCATGCCTTGTGATTCGTGTGGTGCATTTCTGGTTTGACATTTTTGATTAACCATCTATCTATCGCAAAAACTTTCTGGTAAAATGGACCGTTTGGTCACACTAATTGATAGACATATGGGTTGGAAATGTGACGATGATGAAGGTTTTGATTTGAACATAGTGGACAAAGGTAAGTCACTTTGGATTCTGTGCAACTGAAGTTTAATAGAATCTGCTTCATTTGCTTAACAGATGGAATAAATGTTCATAGAGTGAGAAGTGAAGAGTGTGTTGTTGTAAGGTTTAAAATTAGGTGGCTGGTTTCGAAATCACATTCACGTAGCTGCTTGAATTGTTCCTACCTTTTGAAAGTAATGCCCATGTAGTTTGTTGGTACTTCACTTCCTGGCATATAGGGCGAGTCAAGATTAAGGGAGCTGTGATATAATCCATTCATATTAAGGCTTTATTCATTGCTGAATAGTCAATCTTAACTCTCTTATCAGCAAACATGTGATTTTGAAAGCCAGATTTGCTACATACATGATTTGTTGCTAGATTTTGTGGTTTTAACTTTTATGAATTGTAGACTCTCAAGTTGAATGGAGCTATGCATAAATGGGGTTTATTAGTTTTGGTCGTAATTGCAAGAGCCAAAAGAATGTGATTGACGAATTAATGCATTGACTAATAAATGGGGTTTATTAGTTTTTATTTTCTCACGGTGTTGCCTTCTAGGTTAAGAATGTGATCCTTTTCATGCTTTGAATGACTACTTGTTCTGGTCTTTTGGATGTTGTAGTTGCATTCTCAAGCAATCAACGAATTAATGCATTGACGATAGTCTCAGTCTCAGAATACCTCCATTGCAGCTACTTTTCTGTGTTCAGTCAGTCGTTTGTTAGGCTAGTTTTACTAATTTACTTTTCTGCATTGTGTTTTTGACTTTTTGTTTGTGTTTGCTTACTTGTGCTTGGCACGGGTTTGGTGTTTGAGTTTGTGGTTTCAGGTTTATGACCCGAAGCAACCCGGAGGACTTGATACCGAGAGACGACAACATAAACCACACCCTCCGACTCCTTGCAAGGGAGAGGGAGCTAAGAGAAGCAAGGGAGAGACTTCAATTTCGAGCCCAACCTCAAATTGAAGCTCGAGTTGTAATGCTTTGGCTGCTCTTTACTTTTGTTTACATGGTATTTGATTTGATGTACTACTAGCTCTGTTCCTACTTAAGTTATGACATGTTCTTTCAATTTGTACACAATATATGCTATGAAACAGCCACATTTCATCAGTGTGAGATTTTCAACTCCAAGCTCGTGGGAATAACTAGGATTTAGCGAGCAACATGTACAAGATAATTTGCTTCAAGTTAATTTCGATTTTTACGAATTTTATGTGATGGTCAATATTTTTTCTGATTGATTTTAATTTTTTTTGGATTACTACTAAGTTTAAGTTGTACTTATACGATGGTACAATTTAAAGTTGTACCCACACTTTCTAATAAATTCCTCTATGATACAACTAAAAATTGTACCTACACATACTAACACATCATTCTATGGTATAACCAAAACTTGTACCTATATCTTACGGTCGGGAGATGTCCCGTGAGATGCAAAGAGCAGTTCTCACTATCCTATGAAATTTCACGGCTTCTACTTGACATTCTCACGCCCGTCAAAATTTCACATGAAATTGAAACACACAGCTGCCACTCAAACTTTATCACAACTCATTTTGGCAAAATAACGGCTGTGGAGTTAAGATGTACCTACACTTTCTAGAGTTGTACCTTTACACTATGGTACAACTTAAAGTTGTACCTACACTTTCCCAAAAATCCTTTTATGGTACAATTGTACCTATACACTATGGTACAATTTAAAGTTGTACCTACACTTTATACCAAATCTCTCTATGGTACAATTCAAAATTATACCTATACTTGTGGTACAACCTTATGTTGTACCTACACTTTCTAAAAATCTTTCTATAGTACAACTCAAAATTGGGCCTATACATGTGGTACAACTTTAAGTTGTACCTACACTTTCTAACAAATCTCTCTATGGTATAACTCAAAATTGTACATAAACTTATGGTACAACTTAAAGTTGTACCTACACTTTCCAAAAAATCCCTTTATGGTACAATTCAAAAGTGTACCTATACACTATGGTACAACTTAAAATTGTACCTACACTTTCTAACAAATCCCTCTATGGTACAATTCAAAATTATATCTATACTTGTGGTACAACCTTATGTTGTACCTACACTTTCTAAGAATCCTTCTATGGTACAACCCAAACTTGTACCTATACTAGTGGTACAACCTGAAGTTGTACCTACACTTTTTAACAAATCCCTCTATGGTACAGCTCAAAATTGTACATATACTTGTGGTACAACCTTATGTTGTACCTACACTTTCTAAAAATCTTTCTACGGTACAACCCAAACTTGTACCTATACTTGTGGTACAACTTTAAGTCGTACCTACACTTTTTAATGAATCCCTCTGTGGTACAACTCAAAATTGTACCTATACTTGTGGTACAACTTTATGTTGTACCTACACTTTCTAAAAATCCTTCTATAGTACAACCCTAACTTGTACCTATACTAATGGTACAACCTGAAGTTGTACCTACACTTTCTCAAAATCCTTCTATGGGTACAACCTAAACTTGTACCTATACCATGGTACAACTTTATGTTGTACCTACCCTTTCTCACAAATCCCTCTATGGTACAACTCAAAATTGTACCTATACCTATGGTACAACTTTATGTTGTACCTACACTTTCTCACAAATCCCTCTATGGTACAACTCAAAATTGTACCTACACGCTATGTACAATTTTTAGTTGTACCTACACTTTGTTAAACAAATTCTTCAATGGTACAACTGAAACTTGTACCTATACGATATGATCAACTGTAATTTGTAGCTACACTTCCATACAATGATTTATTATTTACAAGATTGTCATTAATGATGTGGGACCAGTCATTTAGTGGGTTTACCTCCCCAACATGTCGGTTTTTTTTATAGCATGGGTGCTATAGAGCACACTAGAAAGGCATCAAGGATACATACCATCCACTACAAAAAAGAACCAAGGTTTAACGAGGGGAAAAACCGGTTGTTGATTGTACTAAAACCGTTGGACAAGAGTATTAACGAAAGGATATATCAACCACGGTTTAGTAGTTGTCCGATGGAAAAAAATAGTAATAAAATATAAATAGTAGGGGTATGAAATGGTTTAACCACGGTTAAACTATGATTTACCACAAAATGCTTTATTGTTAACTTTTCCGATATAACTTTGGATATGGTTTTAATATTTTTGAATTTTCCACAACTTACATCGATGCTCGAGTTGGAGCAATATGTCAAGCCTGATTTACCCACAATTGTATTAAGATTTTATGAAAACATACTCGAATGCTAAATTGTCAGGTATGACTTTCGGAATGGTATATTTCTGAACATAAATCGAGGTTTGGGTTGGTGCAATGTGTCAAGTTTGATTTAACCATGATTGAACCATGATTTTATGACAAAGCTAATTTTTCCGGTACGACCTTATGTATGGTTTTACAATTTTTAATTTTTCTAACCATAAATCGAGGTTCGGGTTGGAGCCGTGTCAACCCTGATTTAACCACTTTTGAACTGCGATTTTAGCACAAATTACATTAATGCTAACTTTTCCGGTATGACATTCGATATGGTTGTACAATTTTTGGTTGCTTATAAACATAAATCGAGGCTCGAGTTGGAGCAAAGTGTCTAGCCTGATTAACCACGGTTGAACTAAGATAGTACTGTATTGGAGGTCCAATAACAAAACTCCTAATGTAATTTGATCCAGTAGGTGATTTTAGCTTTATGAAACGATTTAACCACGATTGAACTAAGATTTTAGCACAAACCGGCTTAATGCTAACTTTTCAGATATGACCTTCGGTATTGTTTTACAATTTTTAATTTTTTCAAAACATACATTGAGGCTCAGGTTCGAGCAACGTGCTAGAATTAACTACGATTGAACTGCGATTTTTAGCACAAAGTACAATAATGATAACTTTTCCTGTACGACCTTCGCTATCGTTTTACAATTTTTGATTTTTTTTCTTAATATACATCGAGACTCGGGTTGGGGCAATGTGTCAAGCTTGATTTAAGTATATGAAATTATTTAACCACGGTTGACCTACGATTTTATCTCAGAATTCCCTACGATTGTACCTTTCTGGTACGACATTTGATATGGTTTTACTATTTTTGGTTCTTTCTAAACATGAATCGAGGTTCAGGTTGGAGCAACGTGTCAAACCTAATTTTAACCACGAATAAACTACTTTTGTAGAATATTGGCAGTTTAGTAGAAGGACTCCTAACGAAACCTAAATCGATGGAGAAAAAAGCAAAAAGCAGAGAAAACCGCATGCAGAAGATTAAGAAGTAGGTAACAGAGGAAAGCAAAATGAGAGAAACAATTTTTTCTAAACGTACATTTTGTCTCAGGTTGGAGCAACGTGCTAGATTTAACTACAATTAAACTGCAATTTTTAGCACAAAGTACTATACTGATAACTTTTGCTGCACAACCTTTGCTATCGTTTTACAATTTTTGAATTTTTTTCTAAATATACATCGAGGCTAGGGTTGGAGCAACGTGTCAAGCTTGATTTAACCATTGATGAACTACGATTTTACCTTTAGGCGGTCCAATAGAAAAACTCCTAACATAATCTAAATCGATTTGTGATTTTAGCTATATGAAATTATTTAACCACGGTTGACCCACGATTTTAGCTCAAAATTCCCTAATGCTAACTTTTTCTGGTAGGACATTCGGTATGATTTTATCAATTTTGGTTCTTTCTGAACAAGCATTGAGGTTCAGGTTGGAGCAACGTGTCAAGCTTGATTTTAACCATGAATAAACTATTTTTGTAGAATATTTGCAGTTCAGTAGAAGAACTCCTAACGAAATCTAAATCAATGGAGAGCAAAGCAAAAAGCAGAGAAGGCCGCATGCAGGAGATAAGAAGTAGGTAACAGAGGAAAGCAAAATGAGAGAAACAGGAAAAGCCACCCAGAGGAAAGGATTAAGATTTGGGGAGCATGATTAGCTTAAGATGGAAATGGATATTGATAAGGATTCTTGCGGGCCATACAAAAAATATTGATAGTTGGTCAGATTAGTGAACCTCTTATCAAACAGTAACCCCATTGTGAATTTAATAAATACTAGGTTTGTAACTGCGCTTTGCCGCGGAAGGGTCACCTATTTTGTCGTTATGGTTGTTCATCGGCATTTGATTCGCTTTGACGTGAGCATTTGGAATGATAGTTTTTTTATTATTTTCTTTTAATTTCTTTTCGTCGCTCACCTCACTCACTCTCATTATTTTATTTTAGGTGATGATCATCTCTCCACCAAATTTACCCACCAGCAAAACAAATCATCAAGGATTGAAAAACTGTATCGGAGATTGTACCGGAAAAGTTAGCAGTAGGTATTTTGTGCTAAAAGCATGGTTTAACCGTTTTTCATCCATTTCATACCATTAAAGACTGCATATCGATTTTGCTTCCAATATGCCGATACGGTAAGGTTTTTCAATCCTTGCAAATCATTGATTTCACTTCAACTTTATCTCTCCAATTCCTTGTTACACCGTCAATCTATGTTTTGGACATCACCTGCGTGAGATGATTAAGGTGAAAATTGAGTTGGAATGCTTCTTGATTCGGGCCTAATTGTACACTTTTTACCCTCGTTTAGCTTTGATGTTTGTTGCAAGTGAACTCCAAAAGGGGTGGTTTTATGCGAGGTTTCTTGTGTTTCAGTGTGTTTTACATCCTAACAGGTGAAAGGAACCCCGGAGTCGAAAGTTGGAAGGAAAGGAGCAAAGACCGGGTAAAGAGGAGGGGACAGTCGTAGTACACGGTATGGCATTTGTTGGGGTAATAGAGATAAGCCCACGAAAGTCAAAAGCCTGTTGGGCCTGAAGCCCGCTTATGACCTATCTAGGGCATAACCCATGTTGGGGTAATAGGAACAAGCCCACGAAAGTCAAGTGCCTGTTGGGCATCAAGCCCATTTATAGCCTATGAGGGCATGACCTAGGTAGCTATGAAGGAAAGGGGGCGCATAGCGACAAAATAGGCTCGCAGACAAGGAAGTACGGATGGGCGAA